AGTTAGTAGAGAGAGAGAGAGAGAGAGAGAGAGGGAGAATTTTCCCAGGAGAAGTTTTCCAGAGAGATAGTTGACTTTCAATTAGAAGGTGATCGGGGGTTGCTCGAAAGGTTAGATAATCTCATTTATCAGAATGATATATAAAAACAAAGTTCAATAAGTCAATAATAATTATAGTGATCTGGGTTAAAAATTGAATAATAACACATCTTTCTCATAACAGTTCATCATCGTTATTTTAGTTTTTTTTCAATTAATTATTTTAGTTTTTCCTCAAGTAATTAGGATCTTTTAATGTTATTTAAGCTTGATAACTTAAAAGCTAGACTTCTACTTTTAAAGCTACTTTAAAGTTATGAAAAGTAAATAATATCACAAAATTGCTAATAGAAGGTATTTTTAATATATTTTGGGACTCGATAAAAAATAAATTAATTAATTATAAAAATATATTATATAATATTATATAAATATTAAAATAATAATAAGTTTATAATAAATCATTTATCTTTTGTACAATTAAATCACAATCACTTTTGTCCATTAAATTTCAAAATTAGTGATTATAAGAGTATCATTGAATAGACACAAAGTTCCAAAAAAAAAAATTTTAATTTCATGACTCACTCTAAATCATCCAATTTGACATCTAATGAGTGAGAATAATTGTGACCTTTTTGTAATAAAGATAAATAGTTTCTTTATAAGCAATCCCTAATAATAATACATGTTATAATAAATCTATATTCTATCAGATTATAATTGAAGTATTTGAAATACTATTCATATATTATTTGTATTTTAAAATAATTACAAAGTTAATTGTAACAAAATATTTATAACATATATTATAATTTATATAAATTAATTATAACTATTTCAAATTATAACTAAAAATTATTGCTCTCTGCAAAATTGGCATACACATATTTTAGGAGGCACCTCCTAAAATTGGGATCCATAAACTTTAGGGGGGCTTCTTGTAGCTCCTAAGATTTGTAGGTATCTAGTAAGTTATATCTCCTATAATATTTATTAAGTGTTATCTTTATCTAAAATTAGATGATTTTTTTGATCCGAAGTTTAGGAACCAACTAAATTATATTTAAAATAACAGAATTTGAATTTTGAGTTTTATAGCACTTAGATCTTATTCATACATTATTTTTTCAATCCCGTAGAGCATGCAATTTGGAAAAAAACCATTTGAAATATCCTTTTCCTGAATATATCACGTGGGCTGAAGAGGTTACAGCCCAAAATTTGGAGTCCTAAAAATAATCCAAAATTGATTTTGCTTGAGGGAGTGAATAGACAGTATGCTACCTCAGGAGTATGAAATATTTGGGTTAGAGAGCGAGAGTTTTTTTTCTAAGTTAATCAGTGAACGAGACATTTCATCTTTGATTTGGACGGCAGATACGAGAAGCGGCCGGCAAATTTTGGATTCATGCCAAATTTGGAACACTATCGGAATTTATATGTGTACCAGATTTTTTTTATTTGATTTTAAAATACACGTCTAAATTATCATGAGTTGGAATAGTTCCAAATAGGAAAAATATTGAATAATCCATATCTTACTTATATTTTACTAAATTTCCCATAAGCTCTCTGCATAAATTCATGGACGAATTGCTTCTTCATTCTGGCCAAGGATTTAATTAAAAAATGGCCGATGGGTGGGCGATTTGGATCTATGGAAACCTACTTTCTTGACTGATTTCTTCTGAGGACGCGATTAGCATCCGGCTAGCCCGCATATTGTAGAAATGCCGGCTTTGTAATAAATATACTTTTAAATATAATTTGATCCTAATTTTTAGATTATATATAACATTTAATATGGAGATCATGAATATGAAAACAAAAAAATTGAAAACTAGAAATAATAATTATATTAAAACAGCATTTGGACTGTTAGTTACAATTGTTTTATGATGGACCACCTATCTGCATACATCTTTAAAATGGATGCTTTAGAATTTGGACCACATATTGTAGAAATACGTCCAGCTCGCATGAAACAATTTTTCTTCTTCTCGTTTTAATTTTTAAAATAAAAAATACCTATGAGAAATAAACTATTTAACATGAGTTGGTATGTAAGGTTGCAACTTATACAATAGAAGTAAGGTACATCTCAAAAATTAGTTTAGAAGTTGGAAAGGCTTTCAATTGATCATCTCTACTTGGAGATGCATGGATATAAAGAAAAATAATAATAGTGTTTTGAAGTTGGAAAGTCTGTTTTCAAGATTTTTAAGTATTTATAAATATACTTGATCTGCACTATTTTTTAAATTTTAAATTTCATAATTAAAGTTTAGCATGGATTTTCAAGTTTTCATAAGGTTTTTAATGCTAGAACTACATCTTCTGGCAAAATTTAAAGGTATATGTTACTTATATAGTGTAAGATAGGTACCTTATACAAGGCCTAGGCTTTATAAAAACAAAATAAAGCCTCACTTTCAAGTCTTCGTCCAGAAAGTATTTTCGGCAAGAAAAATCTCTATGATGTTTCTAAAATCAATTTTCGATTATGATAATAAAATTTGATACTCAAAAAATAATACAGATCTTGCAGATAGGCACACCCTTATTTTTAGAATGAAATGATAGCATAGATAATTTGTTACAATATACACTATTTTTAAACTAAAAATCCTTTTTTTTTTCATAACCATAATGTTCAAGCTGAGATGATCAATATAAACATTTTCCATTGCTTGAATTGGAATTTTCGATGACTTATGAGGTAAGGTTTTTTTTTATTTTGATGACCAATTGGTGTAGCCTAACAAAACCCATTATATATATATAGTGCAGTTGGCATACGGATGCATCCGTCGCTGTAGAGGTAAGGTGCACCTTCAAATTTTATCATGGTATATAATTTTGATGTAAAATGTTATTAGGATCATCTCAAAATCTATTTTATATCTAATTATAAAATTTTAAATTTAAAAAATGGTTAAAATCAAGTAGATCTATAAACATACGAAAATCTTGAAAATGGACGATGTACATAATATGTTGTAACATGCACTGTTTTTTAGACTTAAAATCATTTTATTTTTCATGGTCATACATCTCGATGTCGAGATGATCAATCAAAGGGTTTTCTAACATTAAAACTACCTTTTTCGATGGATTTTTAAGGTGCATCCGTAGTTCTACATTATAAGGTTGCATCCTTATATAAACTTT